CTGTAAAGTTTGTCCAACCTAGCAACAGTAGCTAAGAAAGAGAGTATCAGTGGGTGGAGCATGAACAGGTTATGCTGTGAGTGAAAACGTCTGCTGCTCCACTTCTCTTACTCTGCTTCCCCTCAGTCTGACCATCTACTACCCCCACAAACCTCTCTCTGGGGCTTCTCTCTCTCTATCCTTTTCACACTCACTTTACCTTTCTTGTTCTGTCTGTCACACACACACACACACACACACACATACACACACACACACACACACACACACACACACACACACACACACACACACAGGTGGGTCTCTGGCTGTAAGCCAGGTTGTTCTCTTTGCCTCAGGCAGAAAGAAGAGGAGACGTGCAGTGGGACAAAATTAATACTGTCACACTGAGCTGAATTACACATGCTTCTCTCTTCTCTTCTCTTCTCTTTATTTCTTTTCTCTCTTCTCTTCTATCTATCTCAAAGCAGTCTTCACCACAGCCTATAACTAAACACTCTCTTTCTTCTGTCTTTCTCTCGTTGGTCTCTCTCTTTCTCCAGAAAAACAAGGTTGCACGAAAGTAGATTGTGAGGTGACATGTATTGCTCTAGACTAGTCTCTGGTTCTCTGGTCTCTCTCAATCCCTCTGGTCTCTCTCTCTCGCTCTCTGGCTCTCTGGTCTCTCTCAATTCCTCTGATCTCTTTTTGTCTCTCTCTTTGGATCTCTGGTGTCTTTGGTCTGTCTCTTTCTCTCTGGTCTTTCTAGTGCCTTTCTCTCTCTCTGGTCTCTCTCTGCTCTATCTCCGTCTCCCTCTCTCTCTCGCTCTTGTTCTGGTCTTTATCTCTCTCTCTCTTTCTCTCTCTCTCTGGTTCTCTGGTCTCTCTCAATCCCTCTGGTCTCTTCTTGTTTCTCTCTTTCTTTGGCTCTCTGGTCTCTGGTCTTTCTCTTTCTCTCTGGTCTTTTTCTGCTCTCTCTCTACCTCCCTCTCTCTATTGCTCTGGTCTTTATCTCTCTCGCTCTCTCGCTCTTTCTCTCTCTCTCTCTCTCTCTCTCTCTCTCTCTCTCTCTCTCTCTCTCTTTCTCCTTCTCTCTCTTTTTCTCTTTCTCTCTCTTTTTTTCTCTTTCTCTCTCTTTTTTTCTCTGTCTCTCTCTTTCTCTCTCTCCCTCCCTCCCTCTCTCTGGCACTCTGGTCTCTCTGTGTCTCTCTCTGGGGACAGATAGAGTGGAGATGTTGAAGTGTGGGCCATATGGCTGGAGGGTTTGGGAAATGTAGAGTTTTGATGGTACAAATAGCTGAATGTGTGTCTGTAGTAAGGTTTGTTTTCAAAGCAGTGAGAGGATCTTTCTGTAAACACTTTCTCAACTCAGCGCCGGTCCACAGCCGGAGTACGTACTGTACAGGGCTCTGCGTGTGGGTATGTTTGTGTGCATGGGCTGCTTTACCTGGAATTTATGCGCAACACTCTCTTTCCTCCTCTCTCTCTCTATCTCTCTGATGTGATTTGGAGGTTGAATCGGATCACTCTGGCTGTGGGAGGTGTGTTATACACACAGCAGATGTTACTGACACACGCGGACACACCATGATTAATGAGAGGGTGTGTACGTGTGTGCGTGCGTGTGTGTATGTGTGTGTGTGTGAGTATTACGCTGCATTAGAATGTGAGTCAATAAGAAATGTGATGACAGTGGCAAATATGTCAATGATGAAGATGATGATAGCAGTGATGATGGTTTGATGATACATTTACATATTTTGTCAGTAACTGGTTTTATGCGTATATAAAATTAAGCCTCATAAAAAGTCAGTTATAATCATAACAGACAGATAGTAGTAATGTTCTTTATCAATTCAAATAACACAAATACTTCTAATCTCATACATCTGCTGTGTACCGTGTTGACATTGCAAACATAATGTTAATATTGGATAGCTATTAAATAGAAGTGATAACTATTTTGTAATAAATTAGGGCTGTTAATGTGAAAGCATTAATAAGATGTTCATTACACGCTAATGCAATAAATTATTAACGCTGTTATCACATTCTCTTAGCTTGACCCCATCAAACCCTCCGTAGTAGTTCAGGCTGAAGCCCAGCTGCTCAAGCACAGTGTGTTGCTATTATAGAATCTGTGACTGTGGCCTTGTCGGTCAAATACAGCTTTTAAATGGCTTTGAAGGCAGCACTACGCTGGGCTGTGTTTCCCGAAATCGTTGTTGCGCAACCATAATGGTATTTGTGGAGAGAGAGATTTCAAAATTATAGTCTGTCTATCATTTAACTATGATAGTAGTTCAACAACGCTTTTGGAAACCGCACCCCTGGACGGTGCTTGTAGGAGACTTATGAATAAATCAATGAGCAGCCAACTGACAAAAACAACAGTAAGTGGGAAGCTCTAGTTCCCCTTAAGAGCTTCCACCATAACAAGAGCTGTATGAACGAGAGTGTGAGTGAGTTGGAGCCATTAACTATTTAATATATATATTCATTAATTTATTGGAACATGCAGCCACTGTTGCTCTCACTGGACATCGGTGGTGAAAACTGGAAACTGTGTTCACTCTGTGGAAATCACATGATTTTCATGCTCAGGTTCATCTGAACTTCGTGTTTACATAGAAATATTATTATGTAATTACTGAAAGACATACATTGTGATGAAGCTTATTGTGTTCACTCATATATGCTTTAACAAATGCAAATATGTTTCACTGGGAAAAATGTTTATTAACCAAATAATATAAATACAATAAAATAAAAACTAAAAACAAGTTGTGACAAGTAAAAATAAGATGTGATTAACTACACAAAATAATTGCAATTAATTGTGATTCAATATTTAAATCATTTCACAGCCCTTAATAACATTTATTACCTGTGTAATGTCCACTGATCACCCATCTTTTAAGTAGAACAAAACTAAATGAATGAAACCAGTAATAAAATAAAGACAGTGTGTCTTAACAACAGTGTACTTAGTAAAATGTGTCAGAGAGAGATATGTTATAAATGTTATAAATGTTCATGTTTTGGCATTGGCTTCAGCACCTGTATCAGTATTGGCATTAGCGGATATATGCATGAAAAATATTGGTTATCAGGATTGGCCCAAAATTCCCACATCAGTATTTGGGATGTACAAAGATATAGTATGTAATATATAGTATATAATGTCGGAATCAGACAGCTGAGTCTTGATGATATTATTTATTGTATTCTGGAAGAGCAGAACATTTAGGCCCTGCTGGACTACTATGCTAAAATATCTGCATTTTATTCATTTTTACTGCATTTGTAACCAAGAGGTGTTACAAATAACAAACAAGTGTCACAAACGTATAAAACAGTTATCAGTACTGCTAATCCAGCTGGATGTAGTTCTAATTAAGAACTACATGTTTATGTATCGGCATTGGCGGATTTGTGTGAACATAAAAAACATTGGATGTCGGCATTGGTCCACAATTTCCAGATAGGTGTTAAAGGTGCACAATAATATCAGACTTATATTAAAATCAAAAGATGCCACAGAATCATATTGGGATCGAACAGATGTTTAGATTTGACTGAAATTCCAAGCTGATATTTTATGATGTATTTGATGTATTGTGGAAGAGCAGAATCGTTAAGTGACACTGGGATACTGTGGAAAAATATCTGTACTGTATTCATTTTGCTGAATTTGTAACCCTTTGCAAATAACTGTTACAATAAGTGTTAAGCGTTCCCTGTAATGCCTATTCAGGTGGATCTAGTCCCAGTTTCTGCATTTTATAAATGCTTATGTACCAGTATCTGCAGATATGTACTACAGATATGGCCTGTACGTGTATTCCTAGCTTTATTAGCTTTAATACTGATACTGATCCAATGTTTATGTGAATGGATAAAAAGTCCTGCTTTAGATGACCTACTCTTCATTAGGGATAGTCGTAATAGTACAATAAAAGGGGAGTCATTTAAACAGTGAACAAATTCATTCATTGCTACTATGTGTGTGTGCGTGTGTGAGGAGAATTAAAGGAGCCCCAGCAGAGTCACTGCTGGAGTCCCAGTCATCATCTCTGTAATACAGCGCACACACACAGCACACACACATGTGCACGCTACCCAACCCCCCCATGGACACCGCAACCCATCGGCCAGCCCACCACACACGAACCCCTCCTCCTCTCTGCGCTGCACGTGGACCCTCCCCTCTCTGCTTCTGAATGCTTATGTGAGCTTTTATGGCAGTCAAAGTAAACAGAGTGTGTGAGAGAGAGAGAGAGAGAGAGAGAGAGAGAGAGAGAGAGGGAGAAAAAAGAAAAAGGAAAAAGAAAAAGTGAAACAGAAGGAAAGAAAAGGACAGAGAACGAGTGCAGAAGCTTTAAGCCTGTAGAAGCACAGCTTGTATAGCCTCTCATTATTGACAAGAGAAAGAGAGAGGAAGAACAGAGAGAAAGGGAAAGAGAGGGGGAAGAAAGGAGAGAGATAGAGCGAGAGAGAAGAAAACCAGAAAAAGGGAAAGTGAGAGAGAAAAGAGAAGAGAGAGAGAACGCAAACGAGTGTGGAAGTGTAAAGCCTGCTTCAATTGCAGCTAATATAGTCTCACATTCATGTAAGAAACACTGCAGAGCGAGAGAGAGAGGAAGGAAGAAAACAGTCAGAGATAGAGATAAAAAGAGAAAAAGAGAAAGCAAGAGATAGAAGGAGTGAGAGAGAGAACGAGTGCAGAAGCGCAAAGCCTGTTTTTAAGAACAGCTTGTATAGTCTTCCATTCAGAAACACTGCATGAGAGTGAGAGAGAGAGAGGTGGAAAAGAGAGCAGCAACAAAGAAGAAGCGAGCGAGCGGCAGAAAGAGAGAGAGAAACGAGGGAAGACCCTGGCTGAGGACAAACGAGTGCAGAGAGCTGTGCCTGAGGCAGAGAGAGAGACAGAGCGAGAGAGACTGAGCGAGTGAGCAAAAAGGGGGAAGGATCTCCCTGCACGCTTGAGTGTGTGTGTGTGCGTGGGTGAGGGTGTGTGTGTGTGTGTGTATGTGTGTGTGTTCTGCGCTCATTCTTCCTCTCTCCATGGCAAACTCCGGCTGCGTTCTTCTCTCCGGCTCGGGAATGTTCCCTCACTTCCCCGCAGCTTTCCTCTACCTGCCTGAG